TATATCTATTTGCGCTTACACAATTAATAGTGTTGTCCAAATTTAGAATATTACAAAATACACTGTCGTCAATATCATGTCTTTGTAAACAATTTAAGACGGCGCGGCGACCTAATTATGTTACATTCGAGCTTACGGGGGCTCTTCGTCACCAGTTATATTCAAAATCTCATCATTATTTAGAACTCCACAGGTAGCTAAATCTTTGTCAATAACAACAAATTTATGTTTATATTTAATACAATTTACATTTAACAGACGTGTATCATATAAACGATACATGAACATCTTATCACATAATAATAGCCGAAACAAACTAGTAAGACGTGGAATATCAATCTCCAAAATTGTAAAAATTCGTTACATTGCGTGAACTTTGACCAAAAAATCTTCGTTATATCGAGGGGACCAAAATATATTTAATTTTTCGTTATATCACGAGATTTTCAAGGGTCCGACAGTTTTATTCGTTATATCGAGGTTTTCGTTATATCGAACTTCGTTATACCACGAGTTGACTGTATAAATACAGCTCATGGAGGGGATCTATCCCCCATATCCCCCCCCCCGTAATTACGCCCCTGTCATCGAGTAAAAATTTCTCATTCACACCTTCATATGGTGAATAAATTGTATAAGCTTTTGGAATTATTAGAAAAATTAAATCTTTAGGTGCAGAGGGAGCTTTTACAATTTGTTGACGTATACGCCAAATTTTTTCCTTTAATGCACAGGTGGACGTTAGCGTACCCTAAAAAACATTATAGTAATATTAAATTTTTTTTTTTTATTGGCACAAAAATATTATATCACTTACTTTAGCTGCTTGTGAAAGTCCAGTCGTACATTCGTTCAATACTATTGATGTAGATTCTAGTGTTTTTTGAGATCGAATTTTAATTTTAGTCACATCAACTTCTGCTTCAACTGCCGCGGCATCTGAGTCATGAGAGTGCTCATTGATTCGTTTTAACACGGTCAAATCGTCTACATTTTTGTGAATTCGAGGTTTACGTTTCTTTTTCTACATCGCCAAAAACGTTTTTTCCCGTCTGCACTAAACGCATCGAATATAAACATAAAACCATTATCTACAAAAACATTACGCCGACGAATAGTTTCTACGACTGCTATTTTGGTACTGACGAGTGACGAGCAAATATAAATTCCATTATATACAGCTCACTAAGAACTACCTATTGGCTGTTATTTTATTATTACTTAATAGTTCCTCTTTTCGTTTATCACTAAAAGCGAGTATAAGCTATGATAAACTTCATACACACAAATTATGCACTTCTAAACCTGTGGATATCAGAACATGATAAACTATTTAGATGTCGATAAAAGATTATTATTATGAAATATTATTGATGAAAAATAAATATTTTTTATTATTATTGTGTGTTGGAAAATGTGTATAGTAAATAATAAGTATAATGCTCAAAATATATCTTTAAATTATTTTATTACTATTAACATTTTTTTAACGGCCTCACGTCGAAATGGTTTTACGGCGAAACAGTGACGGCAAAGTGGCGACGGCGAAACGGCGACCGCGATTTGTTCTAGATCGCAAGAAAATAAAAGCAGTAGGTAAGTTGGGTCCCGGGAAAAAAGGTAGTAGGTTAAGTCCAAAGTAAACATTTTATTTTAAATATCTAATAATTTTTATTAGAAGTTAATTTTAATATTATTGTGTTTTTTATTATATTTCCGGTAAAAACTTAAAAGATACGTACAGTACGCAATACACGTTACGAAAAATATAGTGAAAATGCTCAGATTTCGTACACTCGTGTCTATGTATAATCATAAGAACTATTATCAATAGTGGTGTTAACTGATAACTGACACACGATATACGAAAAATTAATATACGTATATGCCTATATGGGTGCACCTAGTTTGCGCACATTTACTTAAATTACAACTGTCAGTGAATATTTTAACTTCACTGGTGTGGTTAAAAATGTGTTTTCTGTGTATTATATTGTGTGGTATATGTTACAAATAATTCGAATTTTTCGATTTTGTCATTTTTATTTAATGTGTTTTTTGTGTATTTTTTAAAATTTATTACTTCAATGGTTTGCCTTGGAAGCGGTTACCCATTTGTTCCAAGTAATTTAATTGGTCTATTTCGTTATTTGAATACTTGGTCCATACATTTTTCGAGTATTCGATTGCCTGTAGCACTTCTTTCCGGCGATAGTTATTAACATTTATTTTTATTGAATTTAATTTAAGTTCAGTTTCTGATTGTATGTTTTTAATTACATCAATAACTTGGTATACATATGGGTGAGGGCTATATAATTGGTTATTATAATGCCTATGGAAAGCTTCAGCTCCATTAGTTGTTCTTGGTTGAACATGGTCATTGTTCAAATCGAAAATTAATCCGTTCGTTCTAACTATTTTGCAGTTTGCTTAATAAAGTTGGAAAAATAATCAATTATCCGTAGTAACATGAACTGAACGTTAAAATAGTTGCACCCTCAACCTAAACTCGCAAAAATCGACCGTCATCCATTCAAAACCGTTGATACAAAGTGGCTCGTTTCCCTACAGCAAGGGTCGGCCACCTTTTGAACCACGCGGGCCATATTTTTTTTTCAAATGTTTATCAAGGGCTACATTAAAAAAAAATTTTAACATATGATACTAATAATGATACTAATAATTGTATTGCTATTATATTTGATTATTTTACAAAGAAATATAAGTGTAAAAAATACGAATGTTACTGGAAATAATTGCTTTTAAGAAAAAATTTAATTTTTTGACAAATTAAACATAATGGCTTACCTTTGTTTTCGACAAAAAAGTATAAATCAACCCAAGAATTATTAAAAAAACGATGTTCATCACAAATTTTTCTTTTTTTAGTCGCCATAATATTTGGATTTACTTGTAAAATGAAACTATTACAAACACAAGTATTCACACGTACCGGCGTAATCACGGTGTAATACTATTCGCTACAAACGCAAAGTAACTATGACCATAGATTACATAGATTAAATATATTTAAAATTTTAATTTTTAAATATATATATATTTAATTTATTCTATGACCGAGTAGTGCAGCCATCATTATCTTCGAGTCCGATTAGATAACAATAACAATTTTATTTATAAAGAAAAAAGAATTGAGTAGTATTGAAAGTTGTATGAAAAATTTATTGAACAAAAATAAAACATAAAAATTAACTACCTTTGAACGGGCCATAAAATATTGCTTCGCGGGCCACATGCGGCCCGCGGGCCACGGGTTGCCGACCCCTGCCGTACAGTATCGTGACGGTGCACGTCGACCAATAAAGTGTACGGTATAAAGAAAAAAACCGTTTCACATAGACTGAAATAATAATAATAAAAATAAATGTAGTACCTACTCTGACGGTGCGAGAAAACATTTGATTTCCTTTCATCGCGATGCGCACGTGTATAATACAATAAACGGAGTTCTAGGAAAACGAAACATACGACCGTCATAACAATACGTCATGTTAAACGCGTACGGTTTTCGTCGGTGCGATTTTTTCGAACGAGAAACGGTCAGAGACCATAAACATATTAGAATATTACACGATAATTAATCATGTCGCGCGCTTGGAAACGTTTTAGTTTTCTTCGGCCGCGCAACCAACCCACCGCGTGCATCAATCATCCGTCAATCGATCAAGTAAAACGTTGATCGTCGGTTCGTGTGCATACGAATCCGAATAATTCATTCGAACGAAATCGTTAATTATCCAATAGGACTCGTATGGGCAGTGCCGGATTTAATAGTGATGCAAGGGGTGCGATGCGCCAGGGAACACAGCTGATACGAACGTAAAACAGAATTAAAAAAATCGTTCGCCGGACGTGCTCTTAACCCATCCGTACTATTATTATTTTGTTTTAATACGTGTTGCAAGAGTTTTGTCAATTGTTTGTCCCCGAAGGTGCCGCCCATTAGACCAGTTGCACGCTGACCTTCCAAGACTTGAATCCGGCCCTGCGCATAGTAATTGTAATGTATTATTACGCATTGTATTCTATTGTATTATTATAATATAGGTTTACATTATTATCGTTATTGTAATTCGCAACGTTCGTTCTAGGATCTGTGCAGTGGCGGGTCCAGAACTTTTTTTGTGTATGGGCCACAAAAGTTATGTTCAGAATGGTTTTACCCCCTCCTCATCATTATTTTTTTCAGTAAGGTACCGAAGTTCGAAATACGACAGAACTAAATGTCTACGGTGAATGTTGATGCTTATGTATTGTGCCGTGTGGTCAATACAACGACATTACTTGGAATCGGTTTTTTTTTCTTTTCTTTTTTTGTTAATAATACGACTGTAAACACAACTAATACGGCAAAGATCTTACACTCGAAATCCAGCGTTGACAAAAATGGTTTTAAAAACGTTTTTTTTCGCGCTCGTCGTTTACGACCGACTGTGCAATGAGAAAACCATAGACTTATTGAACTCTCCTATAATATACGAATATGGATACGATATACGCGCACGAACGGCTATCAAATAATAAACACCCATACGACTTACGATCGGTGCATGTCGACGTTCTTCAACGTAGAACCAGACCCGGTCCAAATGTTTTCTTACACCTAGGCAAACTTAAGTTTTGCGGCCCCTTACATGTAAATATTACATCAAATATTATTTTTACATAAACAATACAAAAATAACTCCGACTTAACTCCGAGTTGGTTATATTTATTTATGTTAAGTTAACAATTAATTAGATTAAAACATTTGTAGACAAGTAAACCACTACTAATTTAAATGAAACAAAACAGTTTTTTGATATAAGTAGGAACTAGTAAATGTAATATTTTTTTTTTTTAATTACCTATAGTTTGAAAATGTTAAATGCGGCCCTAGACGTGGGCCTATGTCGCATACCACTTGAGCCGGGCCTGCGTAGAACGTCCATATATGGACCCGTGCTGAGACTGTAGTACCGTTTTTGTGTTGCAGATGGTGGAACGCGTAGTGCTGGGCACGTTGCTCGTGGTCGTCGCGGCCAGGTGTTACGATTACGACAAGGTACTACGATTGTCGCTGATGTTCTACGAGTCGCAGAGATCGGGCCACCTAACCGCCGACAACCGCATCCCGTGGCGTGCCGACTCCGCGACCGCGGACCGAGGCCAAAATGGCGAGGATCTGTCCGGAGGATATTACGACGGTAATGATTACATAGTTAAGGATTAATCGTGTCCGCAATGGAATACGTGTCCTGAGTTATGTTATTTGCGACGGCGGCGGTGGTATACGTATACGGGCTGCAACACGATTGCGCAATCATTTCTTTTTCGACCCGACTAATTACAATTGTGAAAAAAAATTTAAAAAAATTGCGTCTCGATCCCTTTTTACCTAATAAAATCGCATCATTGCGTAACAAATAATATTGTGTAGGTATATGTACTATGTATAATAATTTATGTACAACATAAAACAATGTATACAATATTCGTACATACTTTCTACATATATTATTTTCATATACATGCACTCAAACTTATTACTTATTAATTCACAATATTCCTTCGCAATTATTACAGGCTTAGGACTGTCAACAAATTATCATCGTTGGCTTGGTTAAAAATCATTTTTTTCTAAATTACATGTATGTTAAATGTATATACTGACATGGTCAATAGTCGACATTTTTTTTACTAAAAATTTTTTTTTTCTATACTGATAGTCATTAGATGATATAGTCTGATATAGTCATTATTATTATAACTATCATTAGCTCAATAAACTTTTCATTTTGATTTTGAAAAAGTGCGTTTTGTGAATTAATAGTTTGAGCTCATGTATATGCAAATTATAGAAAGTATGTACTATATACATTATTATACATAGTATATACACGTATAATTTGGTGCGCAATGGTGTTGTGATTTTATCAGGTAAAAAGGGATCGAGGCGCAATCGTGTTGCAATTTTTTTGCGCAATCGTGGTGTAATTAGTTTGATTAAAAAAAGGAAAAATTGCGCAATCGTGGATCACCGACGTATACGGTTTCCAGTCGGAACCGGTCGGCCCGCGTGCACGAAGAAAATATTTTCAGGTGGTGGGCAGGGGGCTTAGGTTTTGCATTTTCATGCTTATACGATCTGGGGGGGGGAACCTCTAAAATCACCCTCGCGTACGCCTTCTGGACGATCAGTGCCGCAATAGCCAGATGTTTTACATGCGTCAAACACACAGGCCCAGTCTGTAATGGAGCCAAATGATAAAAGTTGAAAAACATGTAAATATAATGAAAATAAATCAGTTTTTTTTTTCTATAATAATTATTAATGGAGATCGAACAATAAGCGATCGATTTCGTTCTTTACACTTGATCGTTTCTTTTGCAGCCCGTATAACCGAAATTAATAATACTTTGATTGCAGTTGATTGAAGGTACGGGTTTCCTGCAGCGTCCTAATGTAGGATCGTTAGTTTGACTTATACACAGCCTCAAATTAGTGTATTGCGGTATCACTTGGATCGCAACAGATTATTGTCTAAAGGGAATACGGAAATACGAACGTTAAAAAGGTTTCTTGTAGTATTGCTGTTGGTTCAAAGACATAATACGTTTTTATGATCCAATATTGCCACGTTTCATATTCGTCAAACCTAACCACTACAAACTGTTCGAAATATATCTCGGTCAATTTTTCAATATGGCTTCATGGAATGAGGTGGACCAAAAAACAGAGCATATTTTAACATACAAAATATGTGGCACTAGTGCGCCCCAGTGGTAATTGAATGCTACCCAATGGTCGCTGATCGTGCCAATAACCAACACATTCTCATAACGACCGTAGTGACAGAAGTTGATTTTCTCTGTATGTTCCTCTGCAGAAGAACACCACGTTTATGAACTGCGATGGTAGACAATTTTATCGAAGTGCCACCTAGTGAAAATTACTTAAAATATGTTCTGCCAAAAAATAATGTATTTTAAGTACTGGAAATAAATTAAAATATTGTTTTAAGAATCAATTTAAATAAAAAAAAAAAAAAAAAAAACACTGGAAGGTTGAACAAAAGATAATCGAAAATGTTAGAGCATTCAATCGACCGGGCTTTTGTGCAAAAAATTATAATTATAATCACCATAATTAAATAAATGTATTAAAATAGAGACCAATCAAATTGCATTTATTTATGTATGATTGGTAAGAGCCTATGATATAACTGTCAGTTTTACCGACAAATATCTTAGATAGTCATTCGTAGATTTATTGTAATCAAATTTTAACCATATATCAGAAAAATATTACCGGTGTGGTGTCTAAAAAGAAAAAATATTTTATGATTGGTTTTTCTTGGAAATACTCAGTCCACAATATAATTCCACATTTAAATGTTTCATGTATATGTGTGTTAAGTGAGAAATTTTATTTATTTATTATTTTCATTTGATAATGTAATAAGTTATTGTTTTCTTTTCTTTCTATTAGGTAGTATTATTATTTTTTAAATTTTGTTATATATTTTTAAGAGTTTCGTGTTTTTTAAAGTACTAATAATAAACCCTATATTTCATCACTTAATCAGATTTACAGATGTAGTATGTTCTAGATTTATATTATATTACTTTTTTTAACATTAAATAATTATGTAAGATATAAAAATAAATGATCATTAATATATAAAAATACGCTGATTTTAAAAAAAGTATCCAGGGAGTTTGTAAGGGCTGATTGTCATCAAAATGTATATTTATTCCGGACCCTAACTGCGCATAGTATTCGTCATGTACCGGATTTCTTGAGTTTTAATTCCCATCGACATTAGATCGGATAATTTTATAACCGTACTAATCAATTTTGTGTACAACTCGAGCCAGAACCATTCCAACGCCGATTGTTAAACAATTGTTTAGGATTTCAAACGGCGAATAGAAAATTCGACATCCATATCGGATATGTTATTTATACGTACGTCGGATTTAGTTTCTAAAATATACGACCAAAATATGTTGTGCGTGTTTTCGACGCGTGGTCAATAAACTACCGATTTTGATCGGAAATGAAAAATACGTTTAACAGTTCAACGTGGAAATATTCTCGTATTGCACATTTCAACGTCGATCCGTCGGAATGTGCTAGTTAACGTGGATGAAATAGTAAATCACGTTTTCTCGAAAAACATACACAAACGTATTAAATTGTAACATGTGTTTTGCATTCGTAATACTTATGATTTATTTTTGAATAAAGATAAAATGTTGTTGATTTAGGTATTTTTTTTCCTTACATTTCGCAATTCTAATCTGTAGTAACGAATTCGTTTCATAGTTCCCAGACAGACGTTTATCATTTTTATTTCGCACGTGTAATTCATTTAGCAATTAACGCGCATTTTTTTCTAATTTTTTCCTCATTCTTGTTTGTACGTATAAAAAGGTATAATAATATTCTGTCCGCTCTTTGACATTGTTTTTCATGTGAAACTTCCATAGGCACGATAGCGGATTCGTAGGCATACGTGTAGAGACCAATAACCGTGACGGGCGTGTATTACCCGAGCAAAAAAAACAATTTAATCGTCATGCAGGCAGTATGATTCATAGTCATAATCGTGGTATCAAGCGATATTTATTAGTATATTTACATATAGTTTACTGTTTTTGAATTTAATTTTACTGTGACATTCAAATCTGTTGTCCCGTTGACTCGGGAGTCATTGCCTTAACCCTTGCCACGTCCCAGAACGGATCAATAGTTTTACTTTTATTGGACGCGATCCGGCACTCTCAGTTATTTTTAAGACGTTAAAGTTCGTTGACTAATGGCATCCTACTACATTTTACGTTCGGCCAAATACTTTTTTTTCCCCGAATATTTCCAGTAACTTTTTCACGTCATGTTTCGCACAATGTTTAGGTTACAAAATACGGTCGAACGAATTCGAATTTTCTAGCCATGAAAACATTTTGAACACAAATATTATCCATAGTCTTCACAACATTCTAATGTGTTTCGCGTTCTTGTAAAATAATTTCACTCTTCGTACAACCCTATGTTGTACAATCACCTTGTCAGGCATCTTCTGTTGCCCGTTCATAGTGTTCAAAACATCGCATTCCTGTCACTGCGTTAGCGCATCGATTTCGACGTGTCAAGCATTCGATGTGAACAAATGAATGTTGTAGTACGTCATACACCAACGTTATTGTTCTCGCGTTATCGTTGCACTACCGCCGCCGCATTCTTTTTAATATTTTAAATTTTCAAAAATTCTTGTAGTTTTTTTTTAACCATTTGCCTTACTAATCGTTAGCTAATCATTAGTTTTAGTTGATATCCACTTCGGAGTTTTAGTTCGAAACATCACGCCAACTGCACAACTTCAAAAGTTAGTAGCCAACTGAATGATTTGCAAATTCTTAAAACGGACTTGCAAATTTTTGCTAATCAATAGCTTTCGTTTGGTACTAATTTCATAGTTCTAGGTCGAAACAGGTGGGCTACGTTAAGTTGAACCAACTTTTAAATTTCTTGTTTCACGGTGAAAGTTTGGATTAACAAATTCTAAAAATTAACTTCACGAACGTGTTAAATCTGACGAGTTTACGGTTATATGACACACGAACGAAGAATCCGGTGAAAAATACGTACAACTTCGATTTTTCTTGTTTTTCTCGAAAAACTATTAGTAGATTTACGTGGACCGAGCGATAAACACGTACGGTTGTATTTGTGCATTATGCGTGTTATGAAGTCATCGAATACGAGAAAACCTGTTCACGAATATGACGCAATTAGATAGCGCACTTCGATCGGTATTCGATATATTAGTCATAATGGTCCATTCTGTACCTATACGTATTTCTCACATTTCTTTATGATATTCTAATTAGGATTTTCGAAGGCCGTGTGTGCTCGAAAGTCATGTGTGTACGAAAACTGTTATCCGAAAATGCAATTTTTTCAAAACGAAAAGCTTTGAAAATATCGTATTTTGACTGGTAATTACGAGTATATGCTAATGCGATGTAGAACGAATACATGTGATATTGTTACACGTTACGATACTACGGTAAACGAAACGGTTTTTTTCCCGATAAACGCTCAATACTACCTATAATTATTACACCCTCCCGACGAAAATCAATATTATCCCGTTAAAACATATCTATGTGTCGCCACAAACGGTTCGTGTAAGTAGGTATATCGGATACGTGGATAACTATTTAGACTTCATCTGTTTTACCACATTAACATACTCTATTTGCCATTATGTAAATATAAATGTATATCCGGTGTTTGTCTCTGATGTTTGTATTCGATTAATCTACACGCGGCCAACGGTACAATCAACTCTGGTAACAGTGTCGTACGTATCGTACCAAATGCTAGTGGCATAACCAGTATTTTTTAAATGTGAGGGGCTAAACACTTTTTTGAACAGGTCAGGTAAGAGTGGATTTGAGAGTTCACTCGTCACCTCCCTTCTCACCAATTTTATAAATGTATTTTTAGAATTTTAAAATATTTTTAATAATATTTATTAAAATATAATTTATAATAATAACGATGGTCAGTGGCTGTAGCATCGCCCTCAAAATAACATAGTATAAAAACTATATTGATCATAAAATTATAATGTTAGACGAGAGTCTATATCGTAGTGATAAAGACAAACACCCGTTATTCGTTAACATTTGGTTAGTGCCAAAGTTTTCAATTACTTAAATACCAAGTAGCAGTATACTAGTATGGTGCATACACATAAACATGACCGGTGAGGTAGGGCTATAGTCCCTTAGCTCTTGGCTACGCCATTGCCTAATGCGTATTCTTAATGTTTTTTTTTTCTTTTTTTTTCTAGCCGGTGACTTTGTGAAATTTGGTTTCACGATGGCGAGCACTACGACCATTTTGGCGTGGGGTTATTTGAACTATAAGGACGTGTATGTGGAAGCTAGTAAGTATCGTGTTTTTGTGCAAAACGAAAAAACTTCACGCGTACGAAACACAACGTAGAACACAACAAATACAATCATGGTTATGGATACCTCGGAATTGTTTCAAGGACGTATTTGAGCCGAGGTCATAGGGGGGAGAAACTAATTTTTCTTCAATATAAACTTAAAAATAATTTAGAATTCATTACCTACAGCTCATGTTCCTGTTATTAGCATCTGCTTAGATTTGGTACGTGATCTAGTGGTTTTTTTTGTAACTACTCAAGCGAGGTAACCATCGACGACAGATTATTATGGTGCACAATCTTCTATTATTTTGATTTTAAATTGTGTATTATATTATAGTACTATACTATCACAGGCTATATTATATTATATGATTTATGAACTATATTTATATTACATATTTACATCATTTCATAATATTACTGTGTGTGTGTTATATTATAGTAAGATATTAAAACTTTCAGATTTGTATGCATCTATTACAATTCGTAAATACTAGGTTATTAATTATAAATCATAATAAATTGTTCAAATATTAATAGTATTATTGATTCTATTTAATAATAGAAAAGATTTGCAGTAAATTTTAATCGACCATTATCATTAGACTATTTCGAAAATAATATGACAACCACAGCTATAGTTCTGCAGCCGTGATGACAACTTAAAATTATTGATAATAATAATAACTATTATTTACAACCACGATAGTCTGATATGTAAAATAAGCAATATATTTGTTGTATCAATATTATTCTAATAGAAATTCTATTTTAGTATTGCAAATATAGAGTACAGCTGTATAGAGCTTAGATAAAATATACTTAAAACATCAATTTAGGTTGTAACACTTGCAAAATTATATGTATATTGTTTATAATTAAAATATTAACCCATTATGATTGAAAAATGAAAATATTTAACAATTTTCAAAACTTTTTCATTATCTCGCAGTTAACGTGTATGCCGCCGTTCAACGGTTACCTCGTTTGAAGGGAAACGACGCCCACCGTTCAGATGCCATTAATGATAACCAGGGCTCGGAACCTATAGTACTTAAAATCATTAAAATAAGCACTTAAAAACATCATTATAAGCACTAAAATAAGCATTTAAAAAATTGAAAATCTAGCAAAAATATATATTAAAAAAAAAAAAACTATAAATTCTAACTAAAAAATCAAACAAAATAAAAATAAATCTTCACTTTCAAAAATTTTAATGGATTTTTTTGAAAAATAAAATATAAACTGTTTTCTTTGTTCCTGATTATTCTGACGTTTAACAATCAGTTCTATTTTCAGCGTTGGAATATCTTTGTTAACCCTACAACGATACCTTGGACAATGATAAACTACGTAACAATGTAGATAAAATAAGAATTATTTTTAATTTTAATTTTATCAAAAACGACTTTGCAGGATAAAGCTATAAAAGCGTAAAAAAAAACTGGTCAAATAAGCAAAAATAATCAGAAAACTTGAAATAAACATTTTTTTTAAAAAATCGCCGAAAAAAAGCAAAAAAAAGGCACTTTCAAATTTCATAATTGTACGTGTTTTAACTTGAAATATGCTTCTATAGCACTCTAATACATTTTGAGTCAATCCATAAAAATAAGCAAATGCTAAAACTCTCGAGCTCTGATAATAACATATTATAATGATAGACTAGTAATTTATATTCTTAATTATTTATACATTACATTTTTTAAATAAATCAATGTATTATATTCAAAAAAAAAAAATACGAGCTGTAGGGGGGGGGTGAATACATTCTTCGCTCCCACTCAAATACGCCCTTGAATTGTTTTCGAGGCCGGTACCTTCGAACGAACATATTAAATCAAACAAAACGAAATCGGACGTAAGTTTTTTCGTTGGCTAAAAATCGCTTAACAATCGTGGGGTTCATTTCACTCAAATGCTTGCCGTGAATAATGGTTAGTCGAGGCCCCGTTGGAAAAAATATGTATTATATCTCCCTACTGCGGAAACTCAAAATAAATTTTCCCGCCGTAAAGATTCCGTTGGAAGATTTCGTTATAATGAGGTTTTACGGGATTGACCGCACGTGCGGTCTTATATATTTTAAGTAAATATAATTAATGGTCTACGATCTTAATTTAAAAGAAATTGCAAGATCCTTAGGTCGGGTGGGATACAAGAATGGGTGAATAGTATTGACGTATTGTTTTTTTGAACTTTTAAGAACTATATAATAACAGTAATATTGTGATAATAATTCGTGTACGTTTGTTCACCGCACGCAGACGAATGGCAAAACGCACTGAGCTCGATCCGCTGGGCGGCCGAATACTTCATCAAGTGTCACGTCAGTGACTACGAGTTCTACGGACAGGTCGGTGACTTCAGCTTGGACCAAAGTTTCTGGGGCCGACCCGAAGACATGAATATGTCTAGGCCGGCGTACAAAATCGATAAGGAACGACCAGGTAAAAATATTCGCTAGCGGTATACGAATCCGTTGATACAGTTAGTTGTTTGCATAGTCGATAGACGCGTGATTGTTGACCATTCATACACGCTCGTGCATCTGTAACTGCATTACAGTGTTCGCCAACCTTGACTTTGATTAACTTTCGAGGCATATTCCTGCCAAAGTCTAGGATAAATCACGATAATCCGATTCAATGTAGGATATTCATTGTGATTCGAAAATCAAAACTAGACTTAGGAACGATCGTACGAGCGTATGGGTGGCGAACACGTGACGTGTTTCGACGTAGAACAATCACTTATTGCTCGTTAACACCGCGTAATGTTGTTCGAACACACGTAGTATAGATTATAGCTTAAAATACTTATACACACAGCGAAGTCTTGCAACCAACACTGTCTGCAGCTAATCGGCTTTTTTTCGCCACGTCCAGTCTTACTACTTTTATTTCCGCGTTCCCGTGTTTCAGTAAAACGCAACGGTTCAGTTCAATGCCACCCGATAATATTGATGGATATTACTCAATCAACGCGAACTATTCCAATGTGATACATGTGATGGAAATGACGATTGATTTCAACTCTTGTCCGATCGCTGTTTGAACGCGATCGGTTAATTTTTCAATCGATAATCCGCGTTAGCACAGCGGTCCCAAATCGGATGACACGTGTAGAATCACCAAGACTTCGCGCATTGTACTTATTTCAATGTACCACTGCTAACCCTGTATTGTGTGTGTTTTATTGCTTGCGTGTAGCTTCCGACTTGGCCGGGGAAACATCCGCCGCTCTTGCCGCCGTGCACATCGTGTTCGCCGACCTGGACGCAAATTTCTCGGCCGACTGTTTGAGTCACGCCAAGCAGCTGTACAAGTTTGGTACCCAGTACAGGGGACTGTACCACGACGCCATCGAAGGAACGTCGCAGTATTACGAGTAATGAAACGGACGAGAATAACATCGTATCATTTCAATCATTTTTGTCGTTTATCGCAACATACAAAACCGCGATAAATGAAAATTATGATTATGACATTATTCGCGCGTCGGTGTCTTGCACCTTTGATGAGAAATGTTTTATCATCGTTTTACAGGTCGACCGACTACGGCGACGAGCTGACGTGGGCTGCCGCGTGGCTATACAAGGCCACGAAGGAAGTTCAGTACTTGGAAGAAGCCGAACACATGTACGCAAAGTACGGACTCAATGAACGCCCGAATGAGTTTTACTACAATAAAAAAGCCGCAGGTGTGCAGGTACGTGATTCGAATAGGTAATACACATTATAAAAGTCCTCTCTCGTCTGCGACAATTCGACGACGATTCCATGTGATTTTGTCCGCCCCTAGGGTTGACCGAGAAAACGGTCTAATGGTCGAATCGATTATAAAACGTCGCTTTCGCGCGTAGCTGATGCCGTGTACCAGACGCGCGTCGCCGTTAATGTCTCGATAAAATTAATAGGAATCAAAATTCAAAATATTTGTCATACTTAAAAATCGACACAAAAACCAAATTCATATTTTATTTTTAACATTTTTGAACCGCCGAACCATGCACCATCGTGTCCATTATTTCACCCGCACCTGTCCACGCGATAACTGGTTGGCGTACCACAATCATATGATATGTTTTGTGATAGATGCTTATGGCCGAACTGACCAACGAGGCGAAGTATACAGAAGCGATTCGAAACTTTTGCGATTACAATTTATACGTCCAGAAAAAAACGCCCAAAGGACTGTTGTACATCGAAAAATCCGGTACGCTTTGTCACGCAGCGAACATCGCGTTCTTGTGTTTGCGGGTAAGTTGTGCCGGTCCGTTACACGGTTTTAATATTGTGTTTCTCGTTCGCCCGCAACGAAAAAACGTTGTTGAAATAATTTTGTCAGGATCGGAAACGGTCGTTTGTTTTGAACTAACTCCCCTGGTTCAGCGTTCGAGCAGCTTAATAGGTACCATACGAATATTACACGCTGATTTACCAATCAGTAGTGGAAACAACCATGTCGACGTAATTGATGTAATGATAGTTGAAAAAAAAAATCATCATTTCCATGTAAATACGTCCGAACGAGGGCCGATCGATTTATTGATCGTACGATCGAAATGATTCCGATCGAACGGTAACTGCAGATATCTTGATCATGAAGCCGAAAGTTCTTTAGCGTGTAAAAACGACCGATTCCGATTTATTTCAGCATTCGTTTCAGTACATAATGTCATTTCGTATTTTACTCACAGGCCGCCGATATCGGTATAATGTCAACGCAGTACAGGGAATTCGCTAAGGAACAGATTCATTACTCATTGGGAAACGGAGGGCGGAGCTACGTAATAGGATTCGGAAAAAACTATCCCCGACAACCTCATCATGCAGCAAGGTAAATCTTTCTCAACATCATTTATCGTTTATTGTTATGTATTAAATTATACCTATTCAAAACTGTAAGCGATTCTCGAAACGAGGTTTAACGGAGTGTCTGCGATCAGTAGTCCGATTTTACAAGGGGTTTTGTAAAGCAATTCATAGTATTTTTTGAAAAAAATATTTTATGATTCGAGTCAATAATATTTAAAATTTTTAAGAAAATAAATTACTAGTAGCGAGAGAAAAAGTTAGTTATATATTGTTTTTTATATATCGCCTTAATCGTTTGAGTTATCCACTTTAGACAAACAGCTGTTCGATTTGACTGGCGCACAGTGGGACAAATTAAACTTTTAGGCGGTCAAAAATATAAAATTATATTTTGTTTTGTTTTTACTTATTTACTATTTAATATAATTAGAATTAATTTAAAAATACAAAACAAATCTAAAAAAAACAATTTAATAGCATAATAAACTAACAAATTAAAAATATTAAGTCTAATCACTACTACTTTCAGCTTCTTCTTCATTCGACTCTTTTTCTTCGGAGTTTTCAATATTCAATAAATGAATTGCGTCTGGAGGCAGTTTAGTTGATGACACTTTCCTCGGAGGTCTTAATCCTGTTATTATCGGGTCAGATGTTATCAAAAGAAAGTTAAATAAATCAGTGTTTGTGTTAATACGTGACGATTTTCTTGAATGGTGTTCTCGGAATCGTATATAGTCTTTGTTCCGTGACTCTTGCGCTTCATCAGATAACTCTCCAATGGGAACAAGGGCATATTTTATCGCTAAAGAGCCATGCATCAAAATTTTATGGACGCTTGGAGGCATATGGTACCAATTATATAACTTAACATAAAGTTTAGCTGTTTCTTTGGAATATTCATCAAATTTTTCATAATTAATTTCATGACCACTAGAAATTACTGATAATATTATTGAAAATCTATGGATTAGGCAAATATCAACTCCTGTAATCTCTGACACTTTTTCTGGGTTCTTAAAAAATCTTCGAGCAACATTCCCCGTATTTGATGTACCCTTACCCTGAACCACTCTATCAACTTTTAAGCCCAATTCTTCCCAAAGACGAGATTGAATATCTTTCTTTTTTTCTGAAATTAAAATTTTTTGTTCAACAGTTTTTCTTTTTGTTGTAGAGGCTGATTCTAATTTATATGCAATATGTAAAATACACTCTAAAAATTTGATCCAGGCATGCAATGTGGATAAACCGTACTTAAGATTATCTTCATTGATTTGAAATTTTTGCATATGGTCTAAATTGTTCATATTTGTAGGGTTGCATTTACAAATAAAACAAACTTGGCTTGAAGATCCTGTTAAAGTGTTAATTACTTTGCCATCAATCATCGTCATAATCATTGTATAACGAATAGACACTACATTATTATTTATATTTAATTTTAAGGGCTTTAGTTCTGCAATTTCTTTCTCCACTTTTTGCACCTCATTTTTTGTGGTTTCTACAGTCTCTTTATTATACATTAATTTTATTGGTCTGCAATAACGCGTAGATGAAGGTGTTGGATTTTTCCATAAAATTGTATTGTTTTTTGAAATTTTTGTAATTCCCGTAAGTCGCAATGGGACCAAAGAAAATAAAAAAACACTTGCATCTGTTATATTTTGATCGTTGAATGTTTGATGGTACTCACTATGACCAGAACTTCCATCACAACCCCACTTACATAACAAATTAAGGTCTGTATACACTTCATCAAGATTCATATTACTATCAAATTCAAAAGTTTTAAATAATCTAGTTAGTGTATGATCTAACAAACATTGAAGTGGAACAGAAGCTTTTTCCTCGCGAATTTCTATACCTTCGGGGTAACATCTTTCTTTTGCCAAACGAATACGATGATATGAAGGATAAATATTAGCTCCACGTTGTTTGGCCCCGAGTCTAGTTATATGATAAGCGTTTTTCGTCATGCGTGTGTCAACTATAAAAGCTAGAGCTTCATCTTCGGTATATGACATAACAGTTTTAGAACTATTTTTATACATATTTTTAATTTTGATTGCTCTACGAGGAGAGTATTCAGTTATTTGGCTTAACATATCAGCAGCTGCTCGTTTCCCTTCAGAGTACAAAGTATTTTTCGTAGCACAAATCAATACCTCACTTGTTGTCGTCTTCCTTAAATATTCAGTTTGCCTACGTTTTGAACGGTCACTTAAATCAAAAAAAGATTTACGTGGCCTACCTCGACTTGTTGATGGTTGGTAGTCTATTTCATTTATTGCTATAAATGGAATGTTAAAATCTAATTGTAGCCAATTTTCATTTTTAATTAAAAATTTTGACATACACCTATTAGATTCTTTCCATTTTTTATTAACTGTACTACAAAATCCTTCAATTTTCCCTTTAATGCATTTTTCAAAGTCCTCATAAGAATTCCACTCATCACCAAGCTTATTATGCAAATACATGGTCAAGGTATTTCGGACCTCACAAGAACTTGTATGTAAAGCAAATCCAGATTTTCTTAATTCTTCAATTAAACAACGGTTTTTAACTTTTTTTACAATTTCAGATTTATCTATAAGAAATAATTAAAAATAATTGTAATTTAAATCGTAATTCAAAAAGGGGCAACTTTGAGCAACTTTTCAATGTAGTATTATAAAGAAAATATGATTATGTACGAAACAAATAACAATTGCTACCTCTAAGAGCCCCTAAATAATTTTTCTACTCAATTATTTTATAAAAAAAGTACAATTTCTTTAATTGGACGATAAATATTCATATTTGTAAATTTTAATTTATGGTATAAATACTAATCAATACACTTACTCGGTGCTATATGTTGATCCATTTTAGATATACAAAACTCCAAAACAACTTGTATAATATTTATTAACGAAAAACTAAAATCTATAATACACACGCTCACGGTGTGAATGCATGAAATTCACAAATTTTTATGAACTACAGCTACATTTATCAGCTCATTAGTTAATGATTATCGAATGTTGCGATATACTTGGTATCGAGAGATAAGTGGCAACAACTTTAGTAGTTTATAGTCACTGATTACGACACTGAAATTTACTATTTTTGACCGCCTAAAAGTTTGATTTGTCCCACTGTGTGGCGTAAACCAGGATTTTAGTTTTTGAAAATTAGAATGGCCTATCACTTTGTTACGAACACAAATAAACGAAATATATGTATACATTTTATTATATTTTTCCTTTAAATATGTAAGTTATTCAGCAAACTTTGTTCGCACAGTATCGAATTTTCGCAGACATATAAACAATATATTAAATAATAACTGCTTCACCTTAAAAATTCATAGACATTACATTAATTTCTACGGACTCGTGTGTATATTGTTATCGTAGAGCTACTAACATAGGATTACGATTTCGTTTTTGATTCGATTTCGATAACAGAATAATAATGATATTTATCTTTCAGATGTTAACGTGTAACACGGGAATAATATTTAATGTTCTTGAAAAACAGAAAAAACTTAAATTTTTTTTTTGCAGTCTTTTAATATTTAGACAAATGTTATAAAGTTTAATAAAATTTCATCTTATACCTTTTATCACGTTATCTTCATACAGACGCGCAGTTATATACCATGGCACGTGCTTCAATACTTATTAATTTTATAGCATTTAAGTACGATTGCACTAGTGGGGATTACAACTGCACACTCCGCAGATCCCGTGAAAACTACCGTTATAATTACGACCATGCTTCGGTCGTTGTCTGGTCACTACAATATTGTATTCGATCGTTCATATCTCCAGCCGTATCTCCTCACAACCCAAAGTATTCGAGAAATTTTTTTTTATGCCACGATTTAACTCGTAATTAGTTAAACAGATTGCATAATATGTGTGATATTGATGCAGCAAAAAAAAAAAAAATACACTGCGAGTGAAAGGGTTGCATAGAAAACGTAAAAAAAAATTCTTAAATACCTACGGAGTGGGGATGTTGACGTGGACGTTACGAACAGTATATAGCAGGACAACCGTTGGTGCTAAAATTACGTGTTTCCGTTTAAAAACATGTTTCGGGGCCAGATTAAGAAAAGCTACTACATACATACATCTCGGGGACCCGCTAAAATATTGGTCGGCATTTTTTTTTTTTCATTACTTAATGGTAAACGCATCATTTAAACATACACATAGTGCACTTTATGTTATGCTACGAACAGCGATTAGATAATGCGATCAGATAATTGATAATAGATAGTTGATCATACTTAGATCAATGATTTTTGACGAGCGTACAGTTCGGTTTGTTGATTTGGATCGGCGGCACGATGAATTCTGTTCGATCACCCGACCAGTCCATCCCCCTGTACGATCGCGAACGGACAAATACAATTGTAAAACGTGCGTACGCCGTTTCTGGTTTTCAGCTCTTGTCCAAACCGACCGGCGCCGTGCAGCTGGGAGGCGTACCGGAGCCCGAAGCCGAACCCTCAGATCCTGTATGGCGCGCTGGTCAGCGGACCAGACGAGAACGACAACTACATGGACCTGCGGGAGGAGAGCGTGTACAACGAGGTGACGTTGGACTACAACGCGGGCTTCCAGTCAGCCGTGGCGGGGCTCAGGCAGCTGGAACTCGCGGCCGGCGGGAAGAAATCGTACCGGTCGGAGGACCTGTTCAACTGGAACTGGTCAAACATTTTCGCGCCGAACGTGACCAACGCCTAACACCGGTCAAGGCGGACACCGTTAAGAGAGAAAAAAAGAAAAAACTTAAAAAAATATAATATTAAAAAAAACACATTCCAAAACTTATACACCCCTTCCGCCCTCTCCCTCTTATTGTTTTCTTCTTGCTGGCACGCGATTCCTTTATTTATCACCCTGCCCCCTCCCACCCATGTGTATTTTTTCGCATCAAAGGTGACTTCGGCTCAACCACGACCCACGTTGATTGATTGACTCGGAATCCTTCCCCTCCCCTCTCCATCACTTTATATTATAATTGATCAGTGACGTTAGTGGTGCGGAATAATTTCTTTTTATAATTTTTTTTCGTTCCAGTGGTCTTGCACCTTCGGGTTTTGCGATCGACGGAACATCATTTCTTCGTCTTCAAATACTTTCAACTCGACATCGTATACTTGGAGATTGTACTTTGAAATTGAACGTAACCGAATAATAAACAGTTCGAATAAAATGGATCGTGTTCCAAGTCACGTTTTCCGATTATGTTATTTTTACGCAAACAGCGAACCTCGAATCTGCTTCCTGAACAGTACTCTGTTTAGAAAAAATAAAAAAAAATGAAAGCTCTAAAGAATTTTTAAGCTGCTCACTTTATCTTGATTTTTTTTTCCAAACACTGACATCAGTTTTTCAGGGTGTATTACGGTAGTTATCTAAAAGCGGGAAATGTTCCCGAATACTATAAATTATAATAGTACACACGTGGGTGAAGATACGTTCAATGCACTGCCTACCTACAGGTTCATCTATGATAGTTAAGGGGAGGGTTGTATTGTCAGACTGCGTGGAGGAAATAAAGTGTTAAAGTTTCTGGAATTTCGAATTGTGATATTGATTTATAATGTTTTGGGATAACTTGTTGCAGCACTACGTACATGTTGTCGGCACGTTATGTGAATAGGCGCATAGCGACGTCTCGTAACAAAAATTCAAACGAGTCCTAGTAGTTTTTGGATTAAAAATAAATGTTTAAAAAATAAGAGCACCGACAATAGCGTTACGTACTCAGACTCCGGACCGTACTCGTTGTTACGTCGCGTACGGTGCACGACAAATGTTACGAGAAAAAAGTTTATTTTTCAACCATTCAAGTCTTCAGTGATTTAAAACAGCGTGTCGGACCTACTATGTATAATTTTATTTAATAATGTTTATTTGCGTGTACAACGTAATGTAGTAAAACTAGATTTTTTAAAATATATGTAATTTATTTAATTTACTCAAGGTTTACGTTTTTTTCGCACTTAAGTATTACCGTGTGGCTATATATGTATATCCATATTGACAATATGATTTCGTTGCATTCAATAGCATAACAAAGACTTGAACCTGCCACAAAATGTTCTCATATTTTTGTCGTATTGTAAGTATTTTACTAACTTATTTTAAAGTGGTTCGATCATTTATTTATTTTTCTATTTTCAAAACTTCTTTCATAATTTTCAACTGACTTTAACCCCTGTTCTGTATCCAGTAAAATCCTTATCCAATCTCTAGACGTACGTTGCCCCAACCACCACCCAACAAAAATTTGCAATTTTTTTCGTACCAATATTTAGTACTTAATTTATGCGATTTTTTATTTCAAACAACGTGATGTTACAATATATTGTGTTTTTATAATTTGTTGTGGTAAATGTGTGATATTTTTAAAAGATTAATTTGAGAAATGAGAAATATTAAACTTTTGTTTAACTTTTGTGTCATTTTTCTCCTATAAGATTGAATTATCAAATTAATCATAAAAATTATTATTAAAACAAAATGTCAAAATAAATTATTTGTTTACATTAGAAAAACTATTTTCCACTGTTTTTAAATACTTGTTAAGAGAAACGTGAAATATTTCTTAATAAAAGGTTCATCGGTTATAGTTTTTTTATATTTTTAATAAATTTAGTGTTCGCATCAAAAAATATATTGTTATTTTGTCGATTGGAGTAGATTGATAGAAATTAGATTTTTAGAATTTTAAATAATACGTGCGAGGATGACCTAAGCCCTTTCACCACGTTCCGATTAAAAAAATAAACGAAGTACAAATACTTTAAGGCATTTTTTTCTTAAAAATTTCAGTATATGGAATGAACGTGCGAACGTTCACTCTATTTTGCAGTTAAATCACACACAGTTGAACACAAAATAACAATAAAATAGAACTTTTGCGCCTTAAACATTTACCGACATCAATTTATATTGATTTGTGTACATGCGGTTGTAGTGTTTACCGTTCATGACTACTACATGTACCTCTAGTTTATTAATATTTAGTGATTCACAACGATATTTTTTCCGTCATCGATATCATATCACGATATCGAAAAACAAATAATATCGATATCGACAAACGATATATCAATATAATTTATTAATTTTTAATCATTCATTCCTCGCGCAACCAGCGTACAGTGCGCACGCGTTACTGTTGTTCTCGTGAAATGCTCAGTTTTAGTGTGTCTAATCTTAACAGAATTTATCGAGTGTCATACCTATCGACGCATTTTTAAAGACAGCGCAAGGATTCAGTGTTCTCCAGTCGACTTTTTGTCTTCCTTCTGAAGAATTATAGTAATTTCTCAATTATTATTATTACTTATTAATTAATTATTATAATATTATATAAATTAATTTAAAAAATTTAACATTTCCAAAGGCACCGTCGGGCACGGTGACCTTTGGACTCAGATAATATAAACTCATTATGCCAGCTAACAATACTACAAAACCGAATCAAACCGTATCACCTATCAAGATAATTAATAATCAAGTAATTAAAACTAAACCCACAATAAATAAAATTAATTCTCAATCGCAAACTGAAAACAAACGGTCATTACCTCAATCGCCGAAAACACCTACCTCTACCGCCTCCACTTCCAAGAAAGCAAAATTTTTTATCTCTCCTAACCGATACTCTGTCCTCGCCGAACCTGACTCTGTGCCGACCGCCACTAATTATGTAAACAATGATAATGATAATCAAATTGATATTGATGCACAAAGTCAGGGGTCCATGCACTCTACCACACATACACAAAAGAAAATAGATTTGCCGCCACCAATATTCGTTAAAGGCGTAAAAAATTTTTTCGAGCTATCCAAAGAACTAGCTATTATCACTGGCCCAGACAGTTTCAGCTGTAAGTCAACATCTTCGCATCTTAAACTCCAGCTTGACACTCCTGATAACTACCGAAAAATAATCCACTTTCTTAAAGACAATGATGCAGAGTATCACACATATCAATTAAAATCTGATAAAGCTTTTAGAGTAGTGTTAAGAAATCGCCATCCATCGACTCCCGTTTCCGAAATTTCAGCAGCAATTGAAGAAATTGGTCATTCCGTCAGACAAGTCACCAATATTATTCATCATCAAACCAAAATCCCATTACCTCTGTTCTTTGTAGACCTTGAGATCGACGAGAATAATAGTGATATTTTTGATGTAACATCCATACTCTACACTAAAATAAAAGTCGAAGAGCCACACAAACAACGACAGATTCCCCAGTGTTTAAATTGCCAATCTTATGGTCATACCAAAAGTTATTGCAGCTATACTCCACGCTGTGTTAAATGTGGCAAAAATCATCTCTCCACAAACTGTTCCAAGTCACGTGAAACTCCTGCCACCTGCGCCCTATGCAATGCCAACCATCCAGCAAACTATAAAGGTTGCACTGTCTACAAAGAACTGCAGCAGCGACGACGCCATCTCGTGAACCCAACGCATGCACGTCTACAACATCCACAACAGCCTCAACATCCTCCAGCTGACCAGTCCAACTACCAACCAGCCAATCAACCTACCTCTCACGCCACTAATAAACCTAATAATCGTTCATATGCTAATGTAACAGGTAATGACACCACTCAAAATAATTATAATAATTCTTCAACCAATGTTGATTTCGTGCTTACCAAATTCTTAGATGAATTTAAATCAATAATTAACCCCCTAATCACCCTTCTAACCACTGTCATCACTAAACTAATTGAATTCAAAAATGATAAATAATTCATTCACCTCTAAATCCCTCCTAATCCTACTCTGGAATGCTAAAGGACTTAAAAACCATAGAAACGAACTTCTTATCACCCTCCAAGAAAAAAGAATAGATATAGTGCTTATTTCTGAAACTCATTTTACTAATACAACCTATGTAAACTTTCCTGGTTACCATGCATACCGTGCTAATCATCCAGACAACTCTGCCCACGCTGGTGCAGCCATATATATTAGGGCTTCACTCGCATATACTCCATTACCTAACTTCCATACAAACCACATTCAATCATGTGCAGTTTCATTATTCCTCAACAATATACCTATTTCCATAGCAGCGGCTTATTGCCCTCCTAAACACAGAATCTCACCCGATCAATTTACCGAATTCCTATCCACCTTAAATAATAATTATATAGTTGGGGGTGACCTTAATGCTAAGCATATTCAGTGGGGCTGCCGTGCCTCTAACCCTAGAGGTAACTCTCTCCTTCAAACTGCCTACCGCTCTAATATCACAATTCTCGCTCCACCTAACTTCACCTATTGGCCAACATCTCGTCATAAAATGCTTGATATTTTAGATATTTTTGTCGCCAAAATTCCAAATAGTCTTCACACACAAACTCAAAACTTGTTAGACCCGTGTTCAGACCACTCACCTGTATTGCTCTCAGTAGATTGTCAACCTCCTGATAAACTCAACTCATCGATGCTGTCTCAATATCGAACAGATTGGGAAAAATTTGGTCACATCTTATCCGAGAAAACCGATTTAAAACTTTGTCTAAAAACCGCTTCCAACATTGATGATGCTGTTAACCTACTCACAAATAACATTCAATCAGCCGTCTGGGAATCAGCAATCCAAACACCTCCAAGAAAGACTGAATTTAATCTTCCCATACACATCAGGACCCTCATATCACTGAAACGTCGTGCACGAGCAATTTGGCAACATTCCAGATACCCATCCGATAAGCGTCACTACAACGCTCTTACACTAAAACTCAAACGCCTCCTTGCTAATCATAGATCCGAAGCTTATGCAAACTACGCATCTTCACTCTCACATAATGATGGTTCACTTTGGAAGGCCTCTAGGAATCTATTACGTATTCATAATCCACCCCCTACTCTACGTAATGATGATGGTACCTGGGCGATCTCTGACCAAGATAAATCAAACATATTTATGAAACACTTAGAAAATACCTTCCAACCTCATTATAATATTCTATCACCCAGCAAAATCCAAGAAGTTGAAAGCTTTCTCAACTCTCCACTGCAGATGTCCCCTCCTCCTCGAGCCTTCTCCCCTGGTGAAGTATACTTTAATATTAAAAAGCTCCCAGGAAAAAAATCCCCTGGATTTGATCTAATAACTGCAGAAGTAATCAGAAATCTACCTAAAAAATCTATCTTATTCCTAACACAAATCTACAATGCTATGCTCAGACTATCTTATTTCCCTATTCTTTGGAAATATTCTACTATAATTCTCATATTAAAACCCAAAAAACCCCCGAACTCCCCGACCTCGTATAGACCAATCAGCCTCCTCCCAATACTTTCCAAGTTATTTGAAAAACTGCTACTAAAACGTATTTTACCTATTGTCGACACTGCAAACATTTTACCAAACTCACAATTTGGTTTCCGCAATAGCCACTCCACCATTCACCAAGTCCACAGATTGGTAGACAAAATCTCCTATGCTCTGGAAGAGAAACTTTACTGCACTGGTGCGTTCCTAGATGTCTCCCAGGCCTTCGACCGTGTATGGCATGCTGGTCTCTTATACAAACTTAAGATTCTTCTCCCTAGTCACTACTATTTAATCCTTAAATCCTATTTAGAAGACCGACTCTTCTCAGTACGAGTAGGTTCCACCTTTTCTGTTCCCACTTTAATTAATGCCGGTGTACCACAAGGTGCAGTCACAGCTCCCCTCCTATTTAACATATATATATCTGATCAACCTTATTCCCTCCATACTCTTGTTGGTGACTTTGCCGACGATAAAGCTATCTTAGCGTCTAGTTCTGATCCTCATCTAGCCTCCAGCTATGTCCAAGACCACCTAAACCTTCTCCAAGCCTGGTACAAGGAATGGGGAGTTAAAATGAACGAATCCAAATCGATCCATTGTACTTTTACGCTCCGGCAAGGAGTATGCCAGACTCTCCTCCTTAACAACCAACCCCTTC